TAATTGCAAGTGTAATGAATAATTGTATTTGCGATTTAAAATGATGTTCCTTCATATGTAGAAATTTAGTTTGGTAGGTGTATATGAATTAAATTTTGATGTTTTATTATCTCGGTCAAGGTTGAAATGGGTGATAAACGATAACATTTCGTAAAGGGATTACAGATGACCGCGAATATTAACCTTTCTCGTGTATATATTTTACGGTCCGTTTCACAATTGGTATAATTTTCATTTGGAGTTTGCGGAACCAGTAATAATTCGACGAGGGTTAATAGTCACGGATTGAAAGCGAGAAACCACCTTTTGCGCATGATGACGACGACGATGGGGATGAGGATGAGGAGGAAAAGCGATATAGAAGGAAGAAATAAGGGAGGAGAGAATATTATAATAATGCATGAACAGAATCGCGCGCGCAAGACTTTTAGACTTGTAAGAGGTTTGCTTGTAGAAAAGCAAAGTGGTAAACTTGTAAGTGGTAAAATAAAGTTGGTCCTCGTGGCCGTGACAGTTTAATTAATATCTTTCATCTTCAAAGGAGAAAAAGTTGGTAAAGTCCCAGGCAAACCACTTCAACTTCTGGGTCGCCGCGACTCTGACTCCTTCACTTTTCTTTCGCCTTCGAAATATATACGTGTATATGCGCCCACTTGTTCGTTTTTTTCTTCACTAAATGTTTAATGACTCGCTAGACGTTATACAATTTTTCCTTCAACTTACACCTTCAATTATAAACAGCAAAAAAAAGAAACAAAACTTTGTGTACCTTCTTGTCCCTCAAGCGTTTCTTGTCATTACTTCTTTTTTTGGAGTATCCTTTTTTATCGCATTTCACTTCATTTGGTGTGAAATTGTTCCTTTTCTTCTTCTTCTTCTTCTTTTTATTCTTCCTTAATAACCTCCGGAGAAATTGTTTCTAGTTTGGAGATAATTTCGAAACAAAAACAATAATTGTTTTTAGAATTGTCGAAATTTACGGTTATTTGGATTTTAGCTAAACTAGCGCATCTGGTGGCTGGGTTTGAACTAACAAGCGCGAAATGTCTGTTGCTTTTTGTGTAGTTTATAGTTCTTGCTTTATTTCGAATTATCTTTATTGGTAACTATTTCAAAATTTTTTTCATTCCATAGACAATTTACGAAAATTCTTGTATTTAGTGCCAATTAAAAATCTTAAATATTTAAAATTCTTTCGAATTTTTTTAATATTAAAAACTTTGAAATAGACCTGAATTTAAAGAATTTTTTTTTTATTTTCGCCAATAATTGAATTTTGGACATATTTGAATTGAATTTTTTAAATAAATAAATTCTCAAAAAACAATTTTGAATGTACGAAAAATAATTAATTTTAAGAAGAAACTTAGTTAAACATATTCTAGAGAAGATTGTATTTTTGAAAAGTTCAATTTATAAATTTTTAAAAATATATGAATTTTTAGAAGCTTTATAAAATAAAAGTTTTAAAAATTAAAAGTGCTGTGAAAAAATAAAAAATGTCTGTTTAAATAATTAATTACAACAATATTTAAAATGAGTAATTTTAAATCTTTTCAAATAAAACGATTAATGTCAAAAAATTTAATTGTTAATCTTTAAAAATTCAGTTACTTTTTAGATGCAATTTGTGGATCTTTCCAAAAATTTTTTTGGAATGAATTGGAAAACTTATTTTCCAATTTTAATATGATTTTAAGAAATTTGAATTATTCAGTATAAAATTCAGAGAAATGAAATTCCTTTTTTTAAAAAAAAAAAGTGCCCTTTTTATATAAAAATTGTCCTTTATATTTCATAAAAAAGATATTTGCAGGGAAATATGTCTCAAGACCATTTTCTTTTTTCATGGAAAAATATTTTACATTTTCTATATTAAATATAAACCGTTTTTTCGTATTACACCTTTTCGGAAAGAAGCCCTTTTGTTTTTAAAAAAGTGTCTTTTTTATATGAAAAATTGTTCTTTATATTTCATAAGAGAGACACTTCCAGGGAAATAAGTCTCAAGAACATTTTCTATTTTCAAGGAAAAAATATTTTAAATTCCCTACATTAAATATAAACCGAATTTTAATTGTTCTCAAATTTTTTTAATGTAATATATTCAAAAATTAAATTATCTTCGAGAAGATTTTGATTAATTTTTTTCAAAAGAATTTAAAGTTTAAAGTTTTTAAATTTTCAAAATTAATTTGAAAATTTAAATTTATTAATTAATTTAATTAAATTTTTAATAATTTTAATAATAAAATTATTGAAAACTTGAAATGTAATTTTAGTTTCAAAGGATTTTATTGGAAAATTAAAGAAATTAGATTAAAGAATTTTAATTTAATTTTTTTAAGATAATAATTGAATACTTGTGTACATACAAGTTATTAGGCAAATTTTGAAAAAAAATTCATAAATTTTTATTGAAAAGACGAATTTTGTTAGATAATTTTATTAAAGTTTTTGAAACAAATTGAAATTTTAAAGATTTAACAAAATTTTACTTTGAAAGAGAAAATAAATAAAAATTCAGTAAATTTTATGAACAGCCACAAATTGTATATAAAAATAATTGTATTTTGAAGGAGTTACAATTAATATTTTGACATTATTTATATTTCAAAAGATTTAAAATTAATAAAAATTCAATAGTTTCGAAGAATTTTATACTTGAAAAAATTTGAAATTAAATTTTTGGAAATAAGTTAATTCTCATCGTTAGTAATTTATAGATGATCCTAAAGTTTTGAACGTTCAAATGAACGAAATTTATTTATTTTTTCTTCAAATTCAATTTTTATTACAATATTTTTGTGTCACTATCAAAAAAATTAATTTTTAAAGTTTTTAAATGTAGAATTTGTGTTTTAAATTTTTATTCAAATCAGTAATTTATGAAAATATTTTTAATACAAAATATTTCGTTCATCTGAACTTGTGGATCATATTTATAGACAAATTTCCGCAAACACTTTAAATTTCGTAGTTCCATTGACAGGAGTTTGTTATTTAGAATAATTTTGTATAATTTTGTAAAATTGTTTTTAAATAATCGAGTTTTTGTTTTTGTAAGTTTTTTAAACTAATTGAGTTTTATGAAAATAAGTTATAATCGGACTTCAGAGAAGAATTCAAAATTCTGTTTCGAAATTAGGGAAAAATAAGAATGAAATTTTCCAGCAACGTAACTGAATTTGAAGAGTGAAGTAAATTAAATAATTAAACATTAATAAAGTAAATTTTTTATAGCAAATGCGTAAAAGATTATATGATTGGAATTAAATTATATGAAATGCATGAATAAAATAATAAAATGCATGAATAAAACAATAAATTGTATAAATGAAATAGTAAATTGCATAAATCAAAATGCAATAAATATTTTTTTAAAGTAACTAATTTAAAGTATATTAACAAATTCTGCACTAAAATTTACAAATTTTTTTATGTGGTTTCATTCTCTGCTCGCCAGTTACTTCCTAGTGGAATTTATTTGCCTTCGAATTTATTTAGCGAGAGTTGAACGAAGATAATTAATTTTGAAAATTCTCTTTCAGTTATTACATTAAGTTTTGTGAAGTAGATGAATTTCTGTGGTTCTATAAGAAAAGGTGCAGGAAGCGCGCTCGCGCACTTATATATATATAATGTATTATAGGTATCCAAAGTGAAAAATAAACTTTTCTTTTGCCCTTATGATTCTTGGATCGGTTTCCATTCCGTTCTTTAATTCTTAGGGTTTAGAAAATTTAAGGTGAATTCTCTTGAGAGGTTGAAAACATACTTTACTCCCAAGTTTTTCTGGATATCGAGGAGTTTGAAAGTTGGATGATAGAGTGGCATAACTAGATTTTACTTCTAGAAGAGTCTTTCTAGAAAAATTTTCTTTTAACTTCAACACTTTCAGACTTCAACTCTTAACTTTGAAAACTTAAGCTATTTCATTTTGAGCGAAAACATATCTTTTAATCTGTTTTAACACTCCCCGAAAAAGATGAAAAAAAAGAAGAAAAAAATGAAAACCATTTTTGCATAGAGAGAAAAAAACTTTTTCATACTCAGACGTAGTTAAATTTCTGTCATTTTTTTCTTTATGTCATTTTCATTTTTTTTTTTGAGAAACGTATTTCTTGAAGTAGAAATTTCTTTTTGAAAATGACTTTTCTTTTTGAAGAGAAGAATTATGCACAGCAAGCAGCTTTTTTCTATATGAGAAAATTTTTATTATTCAAGAGGAATTAATCTTTTTTCGTTTCTTTTTTTTATATTCTTGAAAATGAATTATTATGTATAATTAAAGTGAGAAAAAAAATTGAGATTAATATGGTAATGAAATTTAAAATATTTTTCAATCCACACTCTACTGTTGGGAATTACAATACACTGGTATGACAATAAAGAAAACGGAAATGCTTTGCGTCAAATAAAAAGTTTATAGAGCTAAAACTTATAAATCTTGAGCGCTAAATTAAGTATAAATGTCGGATTTACGCACAGAGTTTTACGATCTTTAATAAAACCATACATTTAAAAAATAAATATATATCTTTGCGCCTATAATTCTCGTCATATTTTTCGAAATAAAAATGATGACAAAATAAAGTTTAATTTTTTTAAATTTATCTCAGCTTATACTAAAAAAATATATATATATATATATAGTATCTTTCACGCATTATAATTTCTTAGGCGGGAAAGTTTTATAGAATTTTACGAGAATTATTCTATAGAATAATTTTAGAAAAATTTTCATTATAATCAACATTGTGTAGAATTTTACTAGAATAATTTTGTAAAATTTTTATACAAGAATTCTATTCAATATTTTGTCGATAAAGAGAGTTTCATTCCGCTTGTGAGAGAACTTTTATACATTAACTTTTATACATTAATAATAATTACTTAATATTTTTTGTAAAAAATAATTGTAAAAATTTTAAATTTTAAGTTTTTTCAGAATAGCGATTGCAAATAATTACAAAATGTCTTTTCTTTTTTTTTTACAGATAACAAGTGATTCGGGAGTGAGTGTTCAGGGTTGCCACAGGTCAGGAAATTTAAATAAAAGTACTGAAAAAATATAAAATTTTTAGAATTTTTAACAAAATTCTGGATTTTGGTATCCAGAAACATTTGAAAATATTAAAAAGGTTTAATTATTTAAATTTAATTTAACGAATAATTTTACATAGAAATTCTTAAAATAGTTGAATTTTAGAACATTTGCCTTTACAATTTTTATAAATAATTGAATTTCATAATGGTTACAAATTAAAATTTTCGAAAATTTTAATTTTAATTCATTTTCATTAAATTATTTAACAACTAATTTTATTTAAAGATTACAAAAAAAGTGGACTTTTAAAAGAGTTGCCTTTATAATTTTTATAAACAATTGAATTTCAAAAGGTTTCAAATTAAAGTTTTAGGAAATTATAATTTTAATTAATTTTCATTGAATTATTTAACGATTAATTTTACTTAATGATTCCAAAAATAGTTGAATTTTAAGAGATTTTCCTTTACAATTTTTATAAATAATTGAATTGCCACTCCATTGTTTACCAATAATTGAATTTCAAATTGAAATTTTAGAAAATTTGAATTTTATTTGATTTTCATTTAATTATTTAATGATAAAAATTTTAAAAATTGTTCAATATTAAGAGAATTGCCACTCTATTTTTTACCAATAATTGAATTTCAAAAAGTTTCAAATTAAAATTTTAGAAAATTTTTTCTTTTAATTAATTTTTAATAAATTATTTAACGATTAATTTTTACTTAAAAAGATTACAAAAAATAATGGAATTTTAAATGAGTTGTGTTTACAATTTTTATAAATAATTCAATTTCAAAAGGTTTCAAATTGAAATTATAGAAAATTTGATTTTGTAATTAATTTTCATTTAATTATAAATTAAAAATTTAATATTTTAAAAATAAAATTTAATCATAAATGAAGAAATTTGTTTTTGAAAAATTTGTATATTAAAATTTTTTTTTGAGATTAGTTGAATTTCCAAATATACATTTAACTGGAAAATTTTCTCAAGTTTTGAACGTTCAAATGAAGAAAAATGTTCTTTTATTAAAAATATTTTCATAAATTTCTGATTGCAATAAAAATTAATAACCTAAATTTAAATTTAACTTTAAATTTTACATTTAAAAACTTTATAAATAATTTTTTAATATAGACGTAAAATTATTTGAATAAAAATTTAATTTGAAGAAGAAATAATAAATTTCATTCATTCAAACGTCCAGTAACTTTAAGATCATAAAATATACGAATAATCAAAATTTCGCAAAATTCAATTTTAAACAAGTGGATTTCAGAATTATTTAAAAACTTTCTTTTTTTCTTTAAATAATTCAATTCTCAAGAACCTTATTAAAAAAAATTATTATATTTAGAGAAAAATTTTAGTTGGAAATTTTGAAAAATAATCGAATTGAAATGTGCAATAGTTTTGAAAAAGTTAAAGTAGCAATTTTGGTAAATTTTTGTTTCTTATTGAATTTTAAATGGTTTGAAATTTGAAATTTTTGAAAATCTTAATTTCTATGGAAAAATAATTAATAATCAGTAAATGTTTATTTATGAAAGAAGTTAAATGATGTTTTCGAATAATTTTTCAATTATGGATGTTCATGAAGAAATGTATTAGAAACACTTTTTTGTCTATCTAATTATGTTTAGAGTGCATGTTTAGAGTTTAGAATTAGAATTTAGAATATTTAGAATTATTTCAAGTCTGTAGAGAAAAAGGTAAAATTCTGTCTGAAAATCAGCAAAGAGCAAAATTTTTGTGGCAACCCTAGTGTTTTTTTGTGCTGTGCCCTAAAGATGGAAATACTCTTCTACAATTCCGGACCGAGGTTGACTTCTGTAAGTTTACTATATTTTTTAAGTAGAATTTAATTATGGTTAAATTTTGCCGACGCAAAGGTGAGAGAAATCTTTATAAGTATTTTTTAAAAGAATTTTTATTTAATAGACAAATTTAACTACAAAGTTAATTAAAAATAAAAAATTAAAAAAAATTAAAAAAAAATTAAAAAAAATTTTTTTTTTTATTTAAAAATTTAAAAATTAAATATACATTAAATTGCAAACTTAATACAATGTTATTAAGATAAAATTTAATTACATAAAAGCATTTTCATAAGTAAATTTTCAAAATTTTTATACTTTTGAATTTTTTATAAAAGTTTTATAGGGTAAGTGCGTCAATTGCTGCGGGTGCTTCAGTTTCTGCGGCATTTTAATAATTTAAGTGAATACATTTGTTCAGGGCACAAATAATTTTGAAATTTTTTTTAAAAATTACTTAACGATGTAAGTTTTAAAATAGATATAGGAAGTATATACCAAAACTTAATATTTATGTATTTTATTTTAATTAAAAGTTGACGTGTTCAAGGTTTTATTTATTTTCATTGCTAACTTTGCTGGCGGTGCAAAAATACCTACATAAAAAAGGCTTTATTATTGTTTTTAGACTTAAAGTGGTTATTATTATGATGATTTTAGATAAAGAAAACCTTGTTTTAAAAGAAAAATTAAACTTTACTTTATTTTTGTCTGTTATTATATTTTATTTTTAAGAGTAGTAATTAACACAGAATTTGGGCTTGATTTAATTTCTGCGCCCTCAGAAAATCAACTAAGACTGGTTACAATAGACTATCTATTTTGAAAAAGAGCAAGAAAAAATTATGAAAATGAAAGAAAAAATGAAGATTATGGAGGAAAAACTAAAGAAAATTTAATAAATACATAAATTAATTAAGGAAGAATTCTGTTATTAAGTTTTAACTAAATGTTTCAAAAATGTGATAATTCAGAAATTATTTGTTACTTTTGTTAATATATGATATATATTTATTTTTAATAAATTTATATTCTATTCAATTAAACATTGATTAAAATCATTGTCCCATTTTGATTTCATAGTAAACACGAAATTATGCGCAGAAACTGACCCACAGGAATTGAATTCGCGCAGCAACTGATGCGCAGCAACTGACTCAAACGCGCAGAATTAAACGCATTGAATATTATTTTTAATTCATTAAATTTATTAAAATAAATTATATTTTAGAGATGTTATTTATTGTAAACATATCTTAATAACACAAACTACAAATTTAATAAGACATAAGTTCAATTTGATCAATATAAAAATTATATTTTATAGTTAAAAGACGTCTTGACCAAAATACCGCAGGAATTAGTACACTTACCCTACTTTCTATAAAATTTTATAGAATTTTATAAAATACTTTTATAAAATTAAATTTTCCCCTCTGCTATTAATTTTACTCGATACAAGTGAATATCCATTTCCTATTGATCAATCGGTTTTAGACTGAAGATCAAAATAATTTTGAAGCAATAATACGGACTCTTATGCTCTCCCCTTTTTAATATCTTTCCACGGTAATTGTTTTTCAGTCCCTCAATATATTTAACCCGTGTGGAAAAATATTGTGGCAGTCTAGAGTCCAATGATTTCCCGATTAGCAATCATCAAGTCCGTCTAATTCTAGACGGTCCATCAAGTCCCGAATCAGTGACTTAAAAAAGGGCTTATTAGAAAAAATCTAAGTCAAATATGTCCGCCTAGTACGGTGTTATAAAGACCGTCTAGATTTGGTCTAGGATTTTATATGCGCATGCGTCGATGTATGCCCAGCTGTTAAGTAACATGGCGCCTAATGGCGTCGCGTCGTTTGGCGTCGTTAGATCAGTCAGCGAATGGTGCATTTTCTTTGTGAATTTTAGTATTCGTTGTGGTTTCTGTTTTATGTGAATAATAATGTGCTATGTTGTTGCTGTTTTCTGTATAATTTAATTTTAAATGTGCACTGAAAAAATAGATTTTGATGTGTTTCTATGTGTTTTGACTATTCGGCTGAAGCTAGCAGTCGTACTCAGCATCAATGTTTAGGCGTCATCTAAAAATATGCCTCTCCTTCAAATTTAGAAATACTTAATGATTTAAAAAACCATCGAATATTGTTATTTGAGAATAAATTGTACACTAAATAGCAAATTTAGTAAGTTTTTATTTATTAATTTCATTAATTAGTGGTTGACGCCTAAAGATTGGTGCTGAGTACGACTGCTAGTTTCATCCGGCTGTTTTGATTTGCAGTAAATTTTATTTTACAAAAAGACTACTATATCTCCAATGCCAAAGATTGGGAGGGACACAAAGCCTTTCGCTTAAAGAAAGTTGAAGTGAAAAATACAGAAAATTAAAATATTTTTTTATACTTTTTATGTAAAAAAAAGTCATCAAAATTATTTCAAATATAATTAAGTTTTATCATTCTAAGAATAGTTGTCATAACATATAATGAGAAATTTTTAATAGACGTAGATTAGAATTTACTAGCACTGCTGATCAGACCAGAAACGCTGGTCTATTCTAGACGATAGCGTGGAAGTTTCGTTTCAATTCTGAACAGCCGCTCGACAAGACCGTCTGCCCTGGGTCTAGAAAGACGTTAGACAGTCTATTAAGCGCTTGGTCAGCGCCCTAAAATTTTTCCACACGGGAATATTTGAATTTGTATCATTTTTTCTCATATGACCCAGAATTTTATCTATTTTATTTATGTCATATATTTTTTATTTTAAAAGGAAACAAATTCAAATAAAAATGTTATTGACAAAAAAATTAAGAATCCAAATAATTAATGCTTCTATAAATTTTCGGATTTTTTTTTTTTGCTACTCCATCGTAATATTTAATATTTGTTTATTGGACTCTTTTTTATATTTAGGTAAATAAATAATATTAAGGCCTTGAATTTGGCCGCGTAAGGTTTTTTTCATCGAAAAATTCATTTTTCAAAACTTTAGAGAAATAATAATTAATATTATTTTAATTAATTATTTGGATTTTTAATTTAATTTTAATTTCGTATTGACTTCGAAACGTAGGATAATTTTTTATATTAAAAACCACTTGTCCGAATGCATTCGTTTGTTTTATTACCTACTATTCTAATTTTAATTTCAATTTAATTCAAGTTTTAATTTCAATTTAATTCGAATTATAATTTCAATTAAATTCACATTTTTTTTTAATTTAATACGGATTGAAATGAAATGAAAACCGAAAATGGAAATGACCAAAATAAAAATGAAGTAGGACAGAAAAAATTATTTCCACGTTACAAAATTTCCAAAAAAAGTGTAATAATAAAATGAAAAAAAGTAATGTCTATGCGAGTATGGAAGCGCTTTGAACCATTTCTTTCTTTCTTTTTTTTTTTTTTCATATAAATTCGGGCGGGAAAATTTTATGCGATAAATCTATGGTCTATCGCATTCGTACACGTGCGGTAACACCCTGAAACTTATCGATGCATAAGCTTAAATATTGGGAGAGATGGAATATAGTAAATGGTAAAAAAAAATAAATAAATGGAAATTCAACACACACATATATAGTATATAATATATATATATAACGAGAAAATGTGAATAGGGTTTTTTTTCAACTTAAAAAAAAGTGAATAAAAAATTGCTCACTATTGTCGGACGTTGGAAAATTCGTTGCTAAGGAGAAATCGTGTCGCGTGATCTGGTTTGCACTGACAACGCCGTCGATGTCGATGTAACTTTCGAGAAGTACGTAGCACAATATCAGCCATGCCACCCTCATCCTGCAAATAATTACATACGTTAAATTACCTCTATTATTCGTTTAATTAGGGAATATTTTAACGTAAACATATTTTTAAGGTAGAATTTAGAAATGTATAATATTAAAGAGAAATCAATGTTTCTGTTTAATAGTATTTTTTTATTTGTTTTTTTTACACACGGATTTTGCATATACAAAACACTATTTTTCTTACGGAACTAATTAATTATTAATTTATTGCTTAATTTTCATTTAATTCTCCTAATTTGAATTTGAATATGTTTTGTAATAAAAGTTGAGTGAAATTGTTTAGAAACTGTTGCCAGAAAGTAATTTTTCTTCACTAGTTTTCTATATTTCAATTGATACAATTTTTATAATTTAATAAGTCATTTTTATATTAATTTGAATTAGGTTGTGTTCTTATTTATTTTTGATAATTCGCATTCGTACTAATTTTTTTATTCGTATTAAATTGTAGTATTCATACTTATTATAAATTAATTAATTATTATAATTAATTTTAATTAAATTATTTAACGACTAATTTTATTTAAAGATTACAAAAATAGTGGACTTTTAAAAGAGTTGCCTTTATAATTTTTTTAAACAATTGAATTTCAAAAGGTTTCAAATTGAAATTTTAGAAAATTTGAATTTGAATTGATTTTCTTTAAATTATTTAACAATAAAGATTCCGAAAATACTTGAATTTTAAGAGAGTTTGCCATTACAATTTTTATCAATAATTGAATTTCCAAAGATTTCAAATTGAAATTTTAGAAAATGTTTTGAGTTTTAATTAATTTTCAATAAGTTATTTAACGATTAATTTTACTTAAAAAGATTACAAAAAAATAATAGAATTTTATAATAATGAGTTAAATAATGAGTTGTGTTTACAATTTTTGTAAATAATTGAATTTCAAAAGGTTTCAAATTGAAATTATAGAAAATTTGATTTGTAATTAATTTTCATTTAATTATAAATTAAGAATTTTATATTTTTAAAATAAAATTTAATCATAAATAAAGAATTTAGTTTTTGAAAAATTTGTATTGTGATGTTTTGTGAACAGGTTTAAAGAGTATTTTTCACTCTTCGAAATAATTGAACTCTTTGATAATTATTCAACTATTTGCAATAATATATATTTGAGTCGTTTAGTATAAATTACAGAAATGCGTCTAACTTTCTTTGCCGTCGTACAAACACTGATTCGCTTCCCGTGTAGAAATTTCCCCATTTGTCCCTATCTCTAGTAGGGACCTCGCTAGATTCTGACTAGAATCTCTAGTCTAGAAAAACTAGTCGGGCTTCAATCAAATTCTAGTTAGATAATTCAGACTGGAAAAAACTCACTAGGACCTTATCGATTTCAAACTAGACAAACTAGTGTACAAGTATGACATACATAAATTATCTTTCTATAGATATAAATAATTCAGATTAATAGATAGAAAAACTTACTAGCATTATTTATTAAAAAATTTTGCATATTATTTAATTATTTAATTTTTTAACATTTTTTAAACAAAATTTTAAATATTGTAGAATATTTTTACAAAAAATTCCAATAAAGCAATTTTATTAAATAAAAATCTTTTATTTAATATGTAAATTAAAAGAATAAAACATAAATAAATATTAATTATGTGGGTATAACTAATTTTTATTACCTAAATATTGTAATATTATTCGTAAAAATAATTTTTTTTTAAAAAGATATGTATGTGCAATTATACTTTAAAATGTTTTTCACAATTAATGCAAGTATTTAATAATAATTAAAAAGATGCTATAATATTATAATTACAATAATAAATTGAATAATATAATTATAATAATTATAGTAAATATAAAAAGCACTGCAATTAGTAATGTTTAATTTTTCAATAATGTCATAATTAATTATTATTAACTATCATGAGGAATGCAGAGTTAAATAAGAGTGATGAATAATAACTCCCTAAAATTCAAAATATTATGAATTAATTATATCTATAACGTTATTGAAAAATTAAACATAACTAATTTATTACATTACTTTTTATATTTTTATATTTACTATAATTGTTTTAATAAATAATAATAATAATAAATAATATAATAATAAATAATATATTACAATATTTATTTATGGTTTATTCTTTTTTAATTTACTTAATAAATAAAAGATTTTGTTTAAATAATTAAAAAATTAAGTAATCAAATAATATGCAAACTTTTTTAATAAATAATGCTTGTAAGAATCATCTAACTAGAATTAGATTGGAACCCGACTAGTTTTTCTCGACTAGAGATTCTAGTCAGAATCTAGCGAGAGCCCTACTAGAGATAGGGACAAATGGCGGAATTTCCAAACGGGATGTACTTTAAGCGGAAGTCCATCCAACCTATCATGGCCGAGAGGTATGTGTATCCGTCTGGTGTCCCCAAGGTCCAAGGTTCGAACCCTCATAGGCACGAGATTTTTCGTGTGCAACAATCATTAATAATGTTAATATGAATGGAGAATTCAATTATAAATAAGTTAAGTTGAAAAATAATAATTTTTAAAACCGGTAGAAGTGAACTAGAACTTCTAGTCGGGGCCCTATCAACTAGAGCGTGACAAAATCGACTAGAACCCCACCAGTTTCTCTAGTTGGAGCCCTTTTTCAAATGGGGTAAACTGGTGAGGTCCCCACTAGAACCCGACCACCATTTCTACACGGGTTATGAGCAGTTTGCGCGGGTCCTACAATTTTTCCTTAAATTGGTGGGGAAATTCCCCTGTGTCCCTTTTCTACTCTAATCGACTATAGTCGTCAAAATATAAATATGAGGAATCGCGTATTCAAAATATATTGAAAATGATTATGACATTAGCGAGACTCGACATGTATATTAGAATTTTTTTGAGAGTAGTTACATTTTCGAACATATATTTAATTGGGGGTCGTCCATATACCACGTGGACACTTTTTAGACACTTTTTGACCCCCCCTCCCCCCCTCGTGGACAATCGTGGATTTTTGACGAACCCCTCCCTCCCCCCCTGATTGTCCACGTGGACAATCGGGTTTTTTATTTTAAAATAGTGAAAAATAAAAAGATATTTAATAAGAAATACAATTAAAAAATTCTTTAATTTTTTTTATAACAAACTTCTTTAAAATTCAATAAAGATTAAATTATCTTAAAATATTATTAAATAGGTAAATACCATTTTTAGTATTATAGAGAGGACTTTGGCAGCAATATATCTTCAATTATTATATTAGTAGAAATACTTAATCTCTTCTGTAACAAATCTAAAAATTTTCTAAAATCCAATAGCTTTGAGCCTTATAACACATAAACAATAATAGAAATTCTTTTTTTTAGAATTAGTAAGAGTTTGTAGAGGTTGCTTTGTATTCCTAATTGTCAAATTTGCATATATTCATATTTGTGCATTTACGATAATGATTTTGTAATATAAATTAAAAAAGAATTTGGCGTTTTTTTGACAGTTAAATAAATTTCGGATTACAAATATTGTCTGATCACAATCTAATAATAATCTAATAATAAAGTTGAATATAAAGAAAAAAAAGATATAAAATTAAACTTTTGTGTCCACGTGGACATTTGTATTGACCCCCCCCCCCTCCCCCCTCGTGGAAAATCGTGGATTTTTGGCGAACCCCCCCTCCCCCCTAAACTGTCCACGTGGTATATGGACGACCCCTTGGAAAATTCCACAAGTTTTGAATGTTCAAATTAATTAGTCGTTTTCGTATTAATTTGAATTAGGTTGTGTTCTTATTTATTTTTGATAATTTGAATTCGTATTAATTTTTTTATTCGTATTAAATTGTAGTTATTTATCTGCGTATTAATTTTTAAAAATTCGTAAAAGTATTATTTTTATTAATTCATATTCGTATTTATTTGTATTAATTCGTATTCCTATTTATTTGTATTAATTCGTATTTGTATTTATTTTTATCAATTCGTATTCGTCATAGTTTCTAGAAATTCGGTTTCTTAGTAATTTGTATTAAATCGAATTCGTATTAATTTTTATTATAAGCACTTGTCGTAATTAATATTTGTATTAGTTGTTAGAAATTCGGATAAATTTTTAGCAATTAGTTTCGTCTTTCGTATTAATTAATTTAGATTAATTTTTGTATTAATATTAATTAATTTCCTATTCGCATTGATTTTAGTATTTCTTAATGGAATTAATTTTTTTTTAAATTTCTATTCGTAAAATTTTCTTGTAATTCGTGTTAGTATTCGTTTAATTTTTATTAATTCCTATTAGTATTAATTTCAATTGGCATTAAATCGTACGAATTTGTACTCTTATTAATTTTTAAAAATTCATATTCGTATTCTTATAATTTTTATCAATTTTTATGCTTTTGAATTTGCAGTAATATCGTATTCGTATATTAATTTGCATTATTATTAATTTGCATTCGTATCTAATTGACACTAATTCGTATTCTTGAAATTATAATTAAAGAAGAGTGGGAATATTTGGTCGACTATACAATTAATCTTATTGTAAAACAATGCTAAAATATGCTACTCGTTGAAAAGTATCCAGGTATATACTTGTGCATTAATACATTCCTTAATTGGGTTAATTTAGAATAAATAGAGAATTCGTATATATACATACTATACACATTGTACATGATATATAACGTAAAATACTAAATTCGCGCGAGTTTACTTAATGAGCTCATTAAATGTAACACATAATTTATTGGAATAATTTCATAGAATTATTAGTTTTGATTATTATCAATATAATGCTTTTTGTTTAAATGGTACTTTCAATAATTCGCTATTAATAATTTATATTAAAAAGATTTCAGGACATTTTGTATTGATTTATTTAAAATAGCGGCTGTTTTCATTAGAAATTCATTAAACAAGTATTCCCCATTAATTATACTCATACATAAGCATATATATATATGCTCTTCTTTATTTAAATATCTCATTTTCCAATTTTGTCAGCCTCTGTTTCTCTC